TCCTTCCTTCCTTCCTTCCTTCCTTCCTTCCTTCCTTCCTTCCTCATCTATTAATGCCTCCTGTGGGCTGAGCACTGCGTTGAGTGCTGGACGTGGACCATGCAACCCAGGCTGAGACCAGCCGGAAGACTCACTGATGTGCTAATATCTGAGAAGCTTTCAGGATTGTGCCTGGTGCCCAGTAGTGCTATGTGAACGTGTTGCATATCAACATGGTCGGGCGAGCACCGCAGCTGTGGAGCACACTGGGGTCAGCTCACCCAGGCCTGGGGAGTCAGGGAGGAAGTGGCATGGAGCCAAGACCACGTAAGGGAGGAGGGGAAGAAGGGGCCAGGCAGAGGGTGTGGCCCCGAGGCAGGAGATGCCCTGGCTGTGTGGGGAACGAGAAGCGCCGAAGTCCTGCTGGATTAAGCAGGGCCATGGGAGCCGCAGGAAAGCCTGTGGAGCAGGCTTGGGTCAGAGTGCTGGTCTTGTAAACTGTGCTGAACAGCTGACTGAACTGCATTCGGTGCAGATGCATTCCTGGTCCGGGTTTTGAGGGGGCTCTGATGTCTCAGCAAGGCTCCAGGATGCTCCATGGCAATTGGGAGCCCACCTCTGTGCTTCTGGGGGCTACCTGGGGCAGGCTTTCCCAGGCCTGTGAGACTGGGTGGCTGGGGCCACAGCGTGCTCTGTTCTAACCAGGCTCTGGGGCTTCTTTCTTGGCAGATGTAGGAGGAGCTCAAGTGCTGGCAACGGGCAAGCCCCCTGGGCCTGAAATCGGTAAGTGGCTCCCCATGCTATTCTGCACACAGGGTCGGGACAGGAAGGAGCCCCCAGACACACAGGCAGAGGGCTGCCCTGGCGGAGTTGGTTCCCTGCTGTCAGCCCAGGAAAAGGGGCACCCTCACCTCCAGGCCCCCTGAGAGGCTGACAGCTTTATCCTGGGGACAAAGTCTTGCCTTAGAACTTGTCCACGCAGGGGATGTGAGACCTCAGGGCCACAGACGCGTGGCTCCAGCACCCACAGAGCCCTGTCCTGCAGCTGTGGACCCTGAGAAAAGGCTCTGCCGGGCTCACAGCCATCGTCGGTGCCTCCCTCCACCTGCGAGCTTCCAGCCTCTCTGCCCTTTAAGCACCTCACGTGCCAGCCAGGCACAGTCTGCAGGCCTCACCCTCTGAGAAGACTCTGGGAGCCCATGACTCCAGGCCAACTCAGCCTCTCCCATCATGAGCTCCTTCCCTGTCCTCCCCAGCTGACTGCAGGCTCCTCAAAGACCACACAGGCCTCATCCATTCTCCTGCAGTGCTCACCACAGAGAGGCAATTAACACACACCCAGTAGATGAGTGGATGAATTAACTAAGGGATCAGTGAGGAAGGGCTGGGAGGCAGCCAGAGAAGTGAACGACTCACCATCTGGGGTGGGGGTAGCCGGGTGAGTTTTAGGGAACCTCGAAAGGTGGGAGCAATATCCCACCTTTTCCTGAAGGAACCAGGGATGGTGCTTTGGAAGGAGGGGATGGGGTGCGGGCAGAGGCTGGGAGCAAAGGGGCCCAAGGGAGAGTGGAAGGTGAGGCTGGCCTCTGCCGGTGGGAGGGTGTATTACAGGCAACATGCATGCTTTAGACCTCATCTGGAATGTAGAGGGAACTGCAGGTGACTGAAGCCCATGTTCAATTCCTCCCTGCGTTTCAGATTTCAAGTATGCCCTCATCGGGACCGCTGTGGGCGTCGCCATAACTGCCGGCTTCCTGGCCCTGAAGATCTGCATGATCAGAAGGCACTTGTTTGACGACGACTCTTCCGACCTGAGAAGCCCGCCTGGGGGCCTCAGTGGTGAGGGATGCGGTGCTCAGGCCTGGCTCTGCCCCACCCAGCAAGGCACCCAGGGCCACTCCCTGATGCTGGCTACAGCAAGAATGAACCCATAAGGGCAGAGCCCAACAGGCTGAAAAGGAAGGGAGTGACATCTCCGTATCTCTGTCTCTCTCACTATCCCTTTGCCTCGGTTTCTCTTTCTTCTGTCTCTCTATTTGTGTTCCTTTTCCTGTCTCTCTATCTCTGTCTCTCTGTCTTTCTCTGTCTGTTTCCCTCTGTACTTTTCCTTTCCATTGCTCTTGGTATTCCTGAGAATCATGTTTCCTGGAGAAAGGTGGGAGAGGAACTGAAATTGGTGTCACACAGAAATTTCTGTTCTCTCATCCAAATGATGTGATCAGATGAACCCAGTCCCAGGAGGCAGCAAGTCCGGTCCTAAATGTGGGTGGGAGGTGGGAGGTTCTGTTGACAATGCCTGTGTGGGTCAAGATGCATTTTTTTTTTTCATAAATTGGGAAAGTCCTTCTCTGAACAGTACTGAGTAGCCCCTCAGATAGAAACCAAGCTGGCTGACATACACCGTGGCACAGCCCTCCGCCTCCTTGGCACCCGAAATGCAGTATTGATTTGCACTCCTTCTCTCAGGGCGTCACCCCCAAACTCATCCTCTGTTGTATTAGACAGCTCAGCGCAATGACAGCGCAGTTTTCCATGGGGTGCTTCTGGGGAGGAAAGAACCCCACTGTCTTTCTGGAGGATGTGATTATCATCTTTGAGGTTAAGCAGAAGGGGCTGGTCTGGGCCAGGAGAGGAGGAAGCTTCCCAAAGTGCTGGCATGTGCATCACCCGAGGGGCTTAATAGGTCATGGGAGTTTGCTTATCCTTGAGTTTGCTTATCCTTTTGTATCCCTGCAATAAGGAGAGGGAACAGCCTCTTCACCACACAGCAGCCAGGCCCCAGATCTCTTACCTGTGAATGAGAGGACCCAGGAGGGAAAGGTGAAGGCTCTAGGGAACGCTCTACACCTCTCCTCACAGGACCTCCTTCCTAATACCTGGCTTTCTCTGTTTAGACACTGACCCGCTAAAGAAGAGAGCCCCAAGGTAAGGCCACTGCCCACACAGTCAGGGAGCGTGTCGTGTTCTCTCCTGTCTTGGTCATTCCACTCCCTTGCCTGTCATCCCCAGCCTTCTGTGCACTCTGGCATGCTTTCTAGGTGACTAGAATGCACCCCATGGCCCCCTCCTTCCACTTTCTCCTCCTCTAGACCAGTGGGAAGGTACCACAAGAGTGAGGGCCACATGATGCGATCATCAAAGGGAGTAGGGTTCGCCTCTGCACACCCTGGATTAGGTCCTGCCCCACCCCCACTGGGACTCCTTCAGTGCATACCCCACCACTCAGAGTGAGGTCTCTAGCCCCTGTCACTTGGGAGGTCACACGTGGTTTATCCCAGGTTTCCTGGCTTCTCTGCTGGCATTCAGGTACCTGCTTTTCTGTGCAGAGCCCATGTCTTCAGGGACCGTCCTGCCAAGGGACCTTTGCACTTGCTGTTTTCTGTCACTGGAATGGTCTTTGCCAGAAAGCTGCAAGCCTCGCCCCTCAGTTCCTTCAGATCGCTGCTTCAGTGTCACCACTGCATTGTAGAGAGCCTATTTAAAGTACAATGCCCCCTCTACCCCAGCCACCACTCTCTTCTCTTTGCCTGGCTTTAGTTTTCTTTATATTTCCTTGCACTAGTTGATGCTATATGATATATTGATTTGTCTATTTTGTAAGGGTTTCTTTCTAAAATGTAAGCTCTGGGAGGGTAGGGTCTTCCTTTTCACCCCTGTAACCCAGCACTTAGCACAGTGCCAGGGACGAAGTGGGTACTTGCGTATGTGCTGAATGAATGAATAAATAAATGGGCATGAGGCCATGGGCTAGGTGCTGGGGATCAAAGAGAAAGAAGTAGGACAATCTCCCGTCTACAAGGCAGATAAGCAGATCCCAGGTGATGGCCACACACTTGGGGTGGTGGGGGTCCTGGGAGGGCTATGGCAGGCTGAGCGTGTGTTGCCTTGTGTCTTGGGGGTGCAAAGGGCTGTGTAGCCACTGGGAGGTGCAGGGGAGCCTCAGGTTACGTGACAAAGGACTAAGAGAAGCTCACGAAGGCAGAGGGAACCCTAGTATATGTAGGCATCATGAGTAAAACCTGCAGCTGAAAAACATGCATTGTGGCAGAAGCAAGTATTTCATGCGGCCATGTGGAAGGAAGGGCTGGAGAGATAAGTAGTTTCTACACAATGGACGATCAGAAGGGCTTGTGCTAAGCAAAGGAGTCTGAAATCTGTCCTGAAACTTCTGGTCACCTCCTGATGGATTCTAAGCAGAGGAGGGATAGAATATTTTTTGTTGTGTAGTAGCATGGAGGAGACCCAGCTGCAGCCAGGAAGATGTGCTGAAAGTCCAGACAGAGACTCGGGCCTGCTGCAAAGCCCTACTGGAGTAAGTCGCGTAGAGGCAAGGGAGAAAATGAAAGATGGGAACAAAGTTAAGGAGGAGCTGGCCCAGGGACCTGGGATGAGGGACTGGGGCAGCCACTGGAGGAGAGAAAAAAACCTAGAACAGCTCAGAGTTTTTTCTGAGCTGCTGCCCTTTGGGAATTTGGTGGGGGAGCAACTTTGGGCAATAGGCTGGGTGAGATGATATTCTTTTGAACATGGTGAGCCTGAGGTTTCTGGATACTTCCACGTAGAGATGTCTAGTAAGTGACTGGCATTTAGGACAGAGGTCTGGGCTGACACAGGCTTAGTGGCTTTTAGAAAGTACCCAGAGCCCAGTCTTACCATCTGTGTCTTCCACGGGACCTGGGACTGGGTAATCTCCAAGCAGTGTCTATTGGAGGAACGGATGGATTAACGGTTACATGAGGGGTAGACGCATGGCGCATTGTGGCTGCGGGTCAGGACTCATCAGCCCTCATGAGGTCATGCCCTTGGAATGAGCTGGGTATGGACTTTCTTAGTTCACTTTTTTTTTGAGGATTTCTCCTCCTTCAGAAATTCTAGTTTTCAGCAGTGGCTTCTAATTGTGAAGCATTAACGCATGTTTCATCAACCCTGTCTCCCAGCATTCCATCTCTCCTTCTGTTTCTGACTCACTCTCCTTCTCTCTGTCCCCTCCCATGTTATCACCCCACCCCAAGCATGTTGTCACTCCAATGGGCCCGGCTAGAGAAGACAGGGTGCAGCTAGGGTGACCTTATAACTTATCATCCAAGACAGGGCTTTGTGAGAGTGGGAAGAGGCTCTGTAAAAAGATCTGCACCAGGATGATGGACAAGAGCCTGGACCATCCTTGGGAAATAGGGATGTGTGGCCAACCTAGGATGAGAGAGCCTGTGAGGTCTCCAGGCCCTGGTGGCCACACAGACTCCTCTTGCTGGCTATGTCACATTCTCTGCACCCAGGGCAGGTCACCAGCTTTAGGGGGCTTTTGGAAATGTGTGGTGGAATTGGGGATATTTCAGGTTGAGGGACTAAAGATGCCACTTGTCCCATCTCTCTCTCTCTCTCTCTCTCTCTCTCCCCCCCCACCATTCTCCCCTCTCTCTCTCTCTCTCACACACACACATATACTCACACACACAGACCCACGTTGGCTGAAGTTGTCACATTCTTTTCTATAGAAGAAACATGCCAAACAGCTCCCAGTGCCACCAAATCCACTGATGTGGGAGAGTGGAGTTCCATGCTGGCCAGCTCTTCATGCCCCTCCTCCCACCCCCAGTCCTAAGGGGCCTTCACCCTGCGGCAGCTCTGTCTTCTTCTAGCCCTAGGGGGATTGGCACAAAGACAGGTTCTCCTGAGTATACAGCTGTAGCACCTGGCCAGTAGGGTGTCCCGGTACCCGCTGACTCCAGGGCGGCACTCAGATGGCTGGGGGTTGAGTGTTGAGTCAGCCTCTCCCACCGTAGAATGAGTGTGGACTGACCGCTATCAGGATTTTCACACAGGGCTCTCAGAGGACATGAGGAGGCCATGGATTGAGTCTGGAAGGGTGAGAAGGATTGACTCCCTAGAACCTTTGTTGCCTTTGTGGGTCTAGGTAGCATCTGTGGTGAGGAGTGCAGGAGAAGCCTGTTTTAAGTGGATGGGCTGTGTTGGCCATGATGAAGACCTGGGCACCACGTGGCCTCAGAGGCCCTCTTCTGGGTTCTTAGGTACCCAGGCAGAGGACATAGACTGCTGTGACCAGCTCAGGTCCTGTGGTCAGGAATCTTGAAACACATGGAGTTTCTAGCACAAGACCACACCACAAGGAGGGCTCTAAAGTGCTGGAGCTCTAGTCAGCACAGGGATGCTCCCTTGACCATCCAAACTGCGGGTGCACATTGAGGGACCCTTTGAGTTAAAGCACTTTGCTTTGCAAATTGGCAGACCTTGGAGCTGACCATGCTTCAGGGACATCTTAGCCATGGCCTTCACATAGAAAAAAATTTCATAAAGGCTGATCCTTAATCCTCGTGTGTGTGTGCATGTGTGTGTGTGTATGCAGTGTCTGTGTATATGTGTATGTATGTCCATGTGGTCATTCATGATGGACTCTGACACACATGGGAAGATGCTGCTGTGAGCAATACAACACAAGCCCATTTGAAAACACTGCTGAATGAACAGTCACTATGCTTTTTATGTTCTTATGCGTGGTCATCTAAGAGGAGCATCTCTGCTATATGTGTTTTTTTGGAAGTTCTGGGTTATTTTGAGCCATCAGGGCTATAGAAGGCATTTTCCATAATCCAGGAAAGATGACTTCAATAGTTATTCAACAATAAACTTTCTGAAAGCAAAGTTCATGAAAAAACATGAAGGGATGCTGGAGGAAGCAGGTGGGCGAGGAAGGCAAGAAATAAAGGCCAGGAGAGAGAGGGGCTGGGAGGCAATGGCTGGATGGGAGTTTATACCCCTGGTAATTAATGCTTTGCCCTCACCAAGTGTAGGGAGCTGTTCTTGGCAAGTATCATAACAGAGCTCCTCTGAAAATAGAGGGACTTTCAGAGAGGAGAGGCAGGATTCAAGTTTCCAAAACTAACACTAGATGGAGTCAGGCTGAGTCATAGGAAAGTCAGACCCCAAAGAGCAAGCTAATGACAAGACAAGCCACTCTCCGGCAGCAAGCTTTGCATTGCTTTCTATCGTCTGAGACTTAGGCAATGAACATCCTTTTATCTTGTTTTGCAGGCGAAACCACAATTTCTCCAAAAGGTGAGTCATAAGCGTGATCACTTGTACTAAGAGGAGGACAGACAGGTGCTGCTCCATGGGGCTGCATGGGTTTTCAGCATGGCCTCTCCCTTACCCTGGTCACGCGGATGGGCAGGTATGGCCATGGCCAGGAGCCCTCATCCAGAATAGCTGTGAGACTAGCCAGGAATCAGCATCACTTTGGGACATAGCGGTACTTGGCAAGATTTAAACTGAAGCTGTGGGACATTTGCCCAGGTAGAGCTGAGAAAATGGGGTTTTAATAGGATAAGCTTTTTTTCATTCTCCAAGACCTATCCTTTTTTTTTTTTATTATTCCATTTATTTATGTTATTGCATTTTAGGTTTGGGGGTAGATGTGAAGAACATGCAAGATTGTTGCATAGGTACACACGTGGCAGTGTGATTTGCTGCCTTCCTCCCCATCACCTACATCTGGCATCCCTCCCCTTGCTATCTCTCCCCAGCTTCCTATCCTTTGATAGTGTCCAATCTAATAACTAGCCAATTTAGTCCATTTGATGAAAAATTCCCAAACTTCTCTTCATGTCATCACGCTAGGTTTGGCTGGGTATTTGCAGTGCTGGGTGTTCTCAGTGCTGCTTTGGGTTCTCAGAATGGACTAAGCCCGCAAGTGGAGGGCTCGTCCACAGGAAGGGACAGGATCTCAGAACCCTGATTGACTGAGCCTGTGAATGAAGATTCCTAGGAATGAAGGCATCTTCACCAGGATTTTGAGGATCGTTATTTCACAATCCACATTGTCCAGCTTGGTTTTTCCTCACCTCAGGCCCGTGCATGTGGTGAACCCACTGAGAATTTACTCCCTGTCCGACCAGCCCAGGATGGTC